AAATACCTCCTGCTTATGGACTTGAAAACTTAGTCTCTGAGCAGTTTCTATTTTCTGAGCAGTTTCTATTTTCTGAGACTGCAGTTTCTATTTCGCCTTTTGGGGCAAATTCGGCATCAGTTTTGGTAGCAGGAGAGTTACAGGGGTGGCTTCTGTGAGAAGCTGCTAGAAGTTTCCCCCATGTCGCATGAAGCCAATGCCAGCTGGCTCCAAGATGGACTTGCCACTGACGATTGATGGTGGTATCACCTCTGTGATAATGTATTTAAGAAGGAAAAAACCCACCCTGTGCAGCAGCAGCCAGAAGAGAGGAGTGTTGTCTGCAACAACTCTGCAGACACCAGGGAATGAGAAGAAGAAAGGGGAGGAGGTGTTCCAGGCAGCCTGTGGTGAAGACCATGGTGGGGCAGGCTGTTCCCCTGCAGCCCATAGAATGAAATGGGGGAGCAGATATGCTGGAATAGTCTATTCCTGAAGGACTGCACCCCATGGAAGGACTCATGCTGATGAAGTTCATGGATAACTCACTCCCATGGGAGGGGCCTCATGCTGTGGTAGGGAAGAATGTGAGGAGTCTTCCCCACGAGGAGGAAGGTGTGGCAGAGAAAACATGTGATGAACTGACCACAGCCCCTATTCCCTGTCCTGCAGCACCACTTGGGGGGTGGCAGTAGAGAAATCAGAAGTGAAGGTAATGCCAGGAAGAAGGGAGGAGTTGCAGGAAGGTGTTTAAAGATCTGGTTTTTTATTTCTCATTGTCCTACTCTGACTGGATTAGTAATAAATTAAATTAATTTTCCCCAGGTAGAGTCTGTTTTGTCCATGACAGTAATTGCTGAGTGATCTCTCTCTGTCCTTATCTTGACCCACGAGCCTTTCATTATATTTTCTCTCCCCTGCCTAGCTGAGAAGGTGAGTGATAGAGCAGCTTTGGTGGGCACCTAGTGTATAGCCAAGGTAAACCTACTGTATGCCTTTAAGAGAGTTAAGTCATTCTTCACTCTTGTTTGGTATTGTCTTTAGCACATTTGGCAGTGCCCTTAGTGATCCTTAGGGTGCCTAAAAATGTGTGCCTAAAGCCTACTGCAACATGTGTGGGTTCTTTAGACTTTGGTGTGTATTTGATGCAGATGGCATTTCAGTCAGGTGGAGTCCTCTCCTGACTCCATCATCTCCCAGGGAGCCTGAAAGCAGGATCAAAAGGCAGCACCAAGTTCTTATGTCGTCATCTGAGCAGATGGTCTCTCTTCACAGAAATGCCTCCCAATTCCTACTGATCTTGGTAAGACCTGGTAAATGTTCAGCATTTCTGAAAATCGCAAGCAGAGATTTAGGAAGTTACCTCTAGCATCCCATCCATCTAAACCAAAAACGTTGCCATGAAAAGGATGTAATTTCTACCACCATCTGAACAAGATTCATTATAATGACTTCAAAATGTAACAGTTTGGGTTCCCCATCCGCAGTTTTACCGATATTTTCAGATTAGAGTTCTCATTAAGAGATCACAATCTTTAGAAAAGGTCCTTTTCACTTTGAGTTTAATTTGATCAGAATTACATTCTTAGGAAGATTTCTGAGGCATTTATAGAGCTCTGCTAGTGGTGCCATGTTCTAGCTCCATTTCCTCAGCTCAGCAGAAGGCTGCGTACGATGTGCTGTGCACATGAAGTGGATCAAACACCGCATGGCGTTGCCACCCTTTTGGAACTATAATGGTGCTCTTTCAAGCACTGCATCACACATCCTTTAGTGTGGATATTTCAGTGGGGAAGCAGCCAGGGAGGGTGGCTGTGATGACTGGTGCTTGTGTGCCAGGCACCCTCCTTTCCTGAGCTGAAAGAAGTCCATAAGACTCCAGTCCAACAGGCTGTGAAAAGCATGTGGAGGAAAGTGTGGTAGGGTAACAGTTCTCCACCAGTTCTTCCTGTTTATACCTTCCAGAAAAGTTAATGCAAGTGACTGCCTATAATCACTTGAGGAAAAACAGCTCTATGCCTTGGAAGAGTGGCTGAGACAGACTTCAAAGAAAGTACCAGCAGGATGGTGCCCGTAGCTTCCAGAGGACTGCTCATGAGCAGCAACTGTGAGTTTGGAGATGACACATTTGATTTAAAAAAAAAAAAAAAAAAAGTGAGGAGGACTCTCCTCAGTCCTGCCCTCCAAGAAAAAAACCTCTAAGTAGCTGGTATTATTTGAGACTAAAGTTTTTATTCTGTGTGGATGACACACAAGTTAGGGAGGATGAGGGGAAAACTGTGGTTTATACTTGTGAATTTGCTTAGAATAGAAAACAGATTTCACACTTGAGATGAAATAGCAAGATACTCAGGTCTCTTTAGAAGGCTGGTTTGGATGCGATGTCTGTGTGAAGCTGTATTAGAGCATCAGTATACAGACAATAAATTGGAGAATGGCAAGGGGTAAAATAAGTGTGCCGTTACACTGGAGTTGCCACTAGATTATAATTTCTGGAAATCCAGGGGATCTGAAAAAATTGAAATTGAAAGATGTGAGCTTGAACTAAATGCACAAAATGAAGCATGCCCTGGAATGTCTAAAACCACCCCTTCCCCTTCTGGAAGTTTAAAATTCACTCAGGAAGCATAATAGAGCATCATTTAATATGAATAATAAATAACAACTTTCAGGTCTTGTCTTTAAGAATTATTTACAGCACAAAGCCCAAATTTATGCCTGCTTTCCCAGCATGTGTTTCCAAACAGCATGTTTACGAGCTGAAGAAGCAAGAGTGAAAGAGAAGCCAACTTTTGATTTTGTTTTATTAGGTCTGATTTATGGCCTAAAAAGTGTCTGAGTGAGGTGACATGGTTGTTAAGGAGACTGATATTCTGAAAAGAAAGATATTTTGATGGATAGAGAGTACCATAATAGTAAAAAGTTTATGTTTCACAGTCAGAAGCTCTGGTAGTAGACAGAAATGGCCTACTCGAGGTGCCTGACCCTTCAAATTGCCATACAGACAAATTATGTTTTCAGTGCTGAGCCTCTAACTCACATCCATATTATATAACTGGAGGACGTGCTATAAATTCACCACTTGCTTGTATTCAAATCTGTGAAAGACAGGAGTCCCAGACACCCCTTCCTCCTGCCAGCCAGGGTTTCTGAGCTTAACACTGTGCATCCTCTCGTGCTGTACCTGTCTTACAGCAAAGCTGGAGTGAGATAAAACGACTTGGCTTCTCTCCACCTCCTGGTGAGGCTGGTCAGGTGGGTGGTCAGAGCATATCAAACCCAGGCCTTGCAGGATTTGCCTTCCCCAGCCTGACATCTTGCCATTTAGCCAGGGAGCACCCTGATCGATAGGATGGAGGGTGTTATGGACTCGGAGAATAAGGGATTTTCCATTCTTCTGTTCAAACACAGGGATTTAAAGTTTCTTTGTGTTAGCAGGACAATTCAAGAGCCAGACAGCCCTTGGCCTAGAGGCTGGGGCTCTGCTGTTGCTCTTACAGCAGGGTTAGTTTCTTGGGAGAAGTAGGATGTGGCTTTGAACCTCTTGGGCTGAAGAGAGCACTGAATCCAGGTCTTCCCTCTCCAAAGTAGCCCAATACTGTGCAGCTGAAGAAAGGAAATGGCCTCAAGTTATGCCAGGGGAGGTTCAGGCTGGATATTAGGAAAAATTTTTTCACTGAAAGGGTTATCAGACATTGGAATGGGCTGCCCCGGGAGGTGGTTGAGGCACCATCCCTGGAGGTGGTCAAGACGGGTTGATGTAGTGCTGGGAGATATGGTTTAGTGATGATGCTCCTTGTTTCTTGTGTGGGTGTCTATTTTTGTCAAAGTTAGGTTGACGGTTGGACAAGATGATCTTTAAGGTCCCTTCCAACCTAAAAGATTCTGTGATTCTGCGCTGTGGTTGAAAAGAGAAGAGAGTTTTCTTCCCTGATTTTGAAAAGCCTGAGTGTCCTCTTTAACTCCATCAGAGGAATATGGGCAACCCCACATCTGGGCACCTCCATGAACCATGGTTAGATCCAGAACCTGTCTTGAAGTTAACTTCAAACCATCCATCAAGGGTTTTCCTATTGCATTTGTGCCACCTGGCTCAGCAGCTGCTGGCTGGGGACCCTGCTCTGGCCGGCCACCTCTTTTCTCCCCTTGCAAGGGATGTGCAGAGCTCTGCCTCAAGGCTGTGCAATCCTCTCTGCACACACTGCACGTACCTGCACGCTTGCAGCAAAGCCCTTTGTAGAAGCAGGTGTTCGACTCCGATCACAGGAGTTAAATTTGTTGGGACGGCTCACATCAGTGCCAATGACTATGGTTTTGTAGGGCAAAGATCTAGGTCAAAACAGCTATATATTGCTAGGAGGTTGTTTCCTTTTTTTTTTTTTTTCTTTAATGCCTATTTTGAAATAATTTCTGAAATTTATTTTACGTTGGTAAGATGGTACTTGCTGCTAAATGATAAACCAGAGCTTAAAGTATTTGCTGAAGGTCAAATTCTCACCTAAATTTGTGTTGCTCCATTAAAGCAGGATGTCTGTGTCTATTATCAACACCTGAAAGATCTGTTTTGGAAACTTGGCCGGGGAAGAAACAATTAGTCTGTTATTCAAAAAAAAGGAAAAAAGAAAAAAATGTGAGAAGGAGACAGAGAGAACTGTGCATGAAGTCTGTACAAAACACTTCTATGGCATTTCTGTTCATTGGAAAAAGGAACCGAGAGCTGCAGTAGATTACTGAGAGCTCCCATTTATCTCTGCAAATTCTTTTGCTCCTGGAAATCACAAGATACTCTGAGAAAAAAAAAAAATATCAAAATATATTAGCGAAGTATATAGAGATGTAATGGCTCTTGATTAATTATGTAGTCAATTATATTAAAATGTTGCATTATTCATGTTCCTTAAATGTGATTTGCCAAATATATTCCTATGTGGCACTGATATTTCATAGTATATTGCTTTGGATTAGGAGATGAAGTTCCTAGGTTAAGTTATTCACTGTTAATGAAAACACCACTCAGTATATACGGCTTGAAAATCCATTGTTAATTAACAGCATTCAATTCTTAATTGTCTTTTTACCATTTCAGTTGAAATCATTGACACAAAATACATTGTTAAACTGCTTAATCAATCATTGTAGAAAAATAGAGGTGTTTGATAGGGACATTCTAGTACAAAGTTTACGTGAAGCTTCCCTGTTGAAAGCTCTGGAGGCTTCTATTTTTTTTTTTAAGCTTATGTTACAAAAATGAGATTTCATAAACTTTACAGTCCATACTACATTGATACCAAAGACAATAAAATACAAGGGGAGAGAGAGAAAGAGACGAACACACACACCTTAAGCTTTAAGTACCCTATTCACAAAAATATAGCTTACACATGCGCATGCCCCAGTGGCGGAAAGTCTATTTTTTTTTTGTGCTGAAGGACACAAAAAAGGTTTAATTAGGGCCCTGAGCTGCTGTTCCAATTACTGCAAACTTTTGTTAAACTGCAGCAATGAATAATAGGGTGGCCCAGTAAATTACAAGAGCAAAAAGCAGGTTTGTCCTCAGAGGAGTGCTTTGCTTTCAGCTCATGCACCTTTTGCTAGGACTGACACACGCGGGTGGCTCGTCGCTATTGATGCTCCGCTCCCCCCATCTCCTCTGCTCTAAGGCTTCTGTCTTCCCGTGGAGCTGGGGAGCCACCCTTCCTTAAAAACCCTCAGTACCCACCATGGGTAGCCTTATGGGCAGGTTGTGATGGATCAACTGGAGCACTCGGCAGCTGCTGATGCTGGGGCAGAGGAACGAGCTTGGAAAGGTCTGCAGCAAAACGAGTGGTGTTTCACAAAAGTTAAGCGTAAGTAACCTTCACCGAGTTGGCAGGATCAACCAGCCTGGGTGGAGGGACTAAAAATGCATATTCTGCACCATTCCTTACAGCATGCTGCTTTGTGAAAGCCTTGTAGGGAAAACGTTCAGAGCTGAAACAAAAACCTCTTTCCATTGAGCAACCTGCTCTAGTGGGAGGTGTCCCTGCCCATGGCAGGGGGGTTGGAACTAGATGATCTTTGAGGTCCCTTCCAACCCTAACCATTCTATGATTCTGTGATTCTATGATCCAGCCTGATCTGCCAGTCCCTGGTGTGCAACCCTTTCCCCACACCCTACTCTGCCCATTCCAGGATGAAGCACAGCTACAGGACCTGCAGAAACCCCACTGATTAGCCACACACTGTGAAAACTAGCAACGGGCAGTTGTTTCAGCAAAAAAAATTGAAAATTGGTGTGAAATAGATGTGAAAGCTATATCACAGTGCAAAATTTCCACCTGCCCACTAAGTTTCTCCTGAGGTTATTATTTTTTTCTCTTCTATTTTTAATGCAAATGTTTCTGTACAAAAAAATGCTTCAGATTCTCTTCAGTGTATTCTTCCTTTCTTGGAGTAGGCAGGTATAAAAAACAAAATTAAGGCTGCAGCTTCTTCTCCTTTGCTGACAGAAGCGCCGCTCTTGATGGGCCTGAGTGAAAGCCCACCGCAAGCAAGGCTTTTTTCAACAGGTAGTATTTTATGCACACTGGGCCTGACTGAGTGGTCCTTCACACTGGGCAACGCTGCACCGTGTGAGCAGCCTCCTGGGGAGCGTGTCCTTGACACCGTCACCGTGCTCCCCTACTTGCACGAGTGTTGCCGTGTAAGCAACGCAGATTATCACTGCTCCCTTAATTTTAAAGTTGTCGAGTCAGTGGGTATGGGGTTTACATGGATTCACAAGAGCCAAGGAGCTAACCTAAGGTGAGGAAAGTCGTTAGGGACCCAACTCTCCTGAGCACGGGTGGCAGGAACCGTGCATTTAGCTGAGGAACCCTGTTGAAGCGTTAATACCCAGGGATGTCACACCATCCATGACCCTGCCGGACCGGCCAAGTACCGGCGCTGTCAACAAATGAATTTAATTGATTTCACCTTCAGATGAAATTCAGCTGTTCCTTTCCCAGCTGAGTAGCTAAAATCTGCTTGCTAAGGTGCAACGTTCGGTTTTCAATGGCTTGTGCTGTTTGTGTAGCAAACTGTTCTGCTGAAATCCCATGGTTTGGGTGGGGAGAAGGGAGAAGTTTCCCTAGATATTGCACATAAAGGATAATACCTCCACATGAAACATGCTCGCTATATTAAGAGTATACAGGGAATTCTGGTTTGCCGTGAGTTTGCCACAGCCTATATTTTAGGTCGAACTGCCAAAAAAATAGCCAGGAAAAATTTTTCTTATTTGTAAACATTTTCACAGTATATCAGTAATTATATTACAATTTCTCTACCCTGCCCTCTCCCAGACTTATGGCTTTTTAGAGTCGGTGAAATGATCTGTTTGGCAAACAGTGAGGTACTCTAAATAGCTGCCAGTCTGGTACACTGAAGAAAATGTCATGCACTAGAAGAGCCACAGATATAGGGGAAAAAAATTCAATATTACAGTCCAAATATTTGAAGAGAAATGCCTACTCAATGGGTAGTTAGTTTTTGCATCCCGATATTTCTAGAACTCTGTTTCTAAACCTACATTAATTACACATCTATGTACATTATTTAGAAGTTCTTTACTACAGTACTTTTGTACATGCGGTGTTTATTACTAAATGTAAAGAGAAAGTAATTACATAAGGCATATGTACAGTATAGTGTTGGAGTGCAGATCCCTCTGCTCACCTTCATCTTAAAGCTGCAAGGCCCATTTCATAGAAGCTGGTCATCCAGTTTGCAAAACTGTCCTGAAATACGTAAAAACCTGAGCCAAGGCCCCTTACTTTGATGAGCATTAATTAGTTTTTCCTTTTAAGCCCCTTGTATGTATTCCCATTACTTTTGGTATTTTTTGTTGTTGATGTGAATAAACCTGGAGGTCTGAACTCAGAGAGGTGCCGAGGAAGCCAGCAGTCATTACCAGGGTGGGGACTGAGATTCCACCATCGATAATGGGTATTGCAGCTTTAACCCACGCCTTTGTTTAGTCTGTGAATCTCTTGAGTTAAAATCGGGCAGGTAGCTATTTCGCATCTTAAGTATTTATTTTCCTGGAATTAAGAATAACAAGGAAGAAAAAAAAAAAGAAAGACATGTTGGAGAAAGAAAAGGGGAGCAAAGAGGGAGAAGATAAAGGAGGTGGTGTGGCCCTTATGCCTCTGGTGTTTCTACAATTTGGACTCACTCTCCAAGTTGGCCACATCACCGTTTCTTTCATTTTGGTCTTCTTGGTTCTTTTCTTCTTCTTCAGTTTCCAGCTCAGCATGCTGGTCCAGCTTGCTGGAAACAGACCATGTCAGGGGTAGTTCTGCTCGGCTGGCCATCTCTGCCAGCTCTTTGGCACTGTGAACTGGTGTGTTGGTCTCATATGTTTCATGAAAACTGTTGTAGTCAACTTCATAAAATCCGTCCTCCAGAGTGAGGACAGGGGTGAAACGGTAACCCCACAGGATCTCACTCGTAATGTATGAACTTCGAGCTTGGCAGGTCATTCCTGTAACAGAGAAGGAAGAAGTGCTGTAATAAGGACTCACTGCTTTTCCAAATCCTTAATTATTTATTCTTCTAGGCAGAAAAGTATTTGTAAAAAGACATATGACAGACAAGAAATAGGTTTGACATCATATGAGATTGAGTTTAGAAAGCAATTTTACAGCATGTAATCTATTTGATGCCCTTTCTTTCTGCTCATGTAAATAATAAGTGCTGAGTCTGTGAACAAAGTTTAACATCTCTTTATTAAATGCAGTCCTTCTTTCTACATTCCCTCAATGAGTAACTCACTCTCTGACAAGTCTCGGATGGCTTATTGAGAGTATACATGACTTGCATCGTGCCATCCTTTGGTTCCTCAGCATGTAGTGAATGCACGCTACCACAATGCAGCACTTGCCCAGGTTGAAGAACTTACACAAAAGCTTTTCTCTGCTGGAGCTAACCCCTGAGCCTATGATCCACGGGATGACTTGGTTCCTCTAAAGGTTGGAGCCACCTTTCAGTTATACTGCTCTGAGGTTTGGGCTGGTGGTCAATGCACAAACATCAGCAAAACTCTTGAAGGACATTGTGACAGTGTGTGATGTTGAATTCAGATTGCTGGGACTAACTTTCTTACCTTCCCTTCACAGCTCTGCTGAGCCTCATCCTGGGAGCTGTTGTAGGACAAAAAAATCTGTAAGATACTGTATTTTATTAAGAGGCATGGAGAGACGTGGTTGTTCCAACCTCAAAGTGTAATCCTGAGTGTCCTCTGGGTGAAGAGACACCTGGCAAGGACCTGTGACATGGAGAACCTGCCCCATCTGAGACAGACAACTCAGGGAAGTACTGCAATAAAATATTAATTCTCAAGAGTGGAAGGGGAAACCCAGCTGACCAGGAAAAAGGTCAGGAGAAGTGAATTTAAGAGGTAAAAAACATGCTGTCAACAAAATGGGAGTATATGAACAGAATGTGACAGTTTTCCTTTAATTATTTGACCGTTATTAACTATGTATTACTAAGCAAACTTCAGCTGAACAGTATATATTCAGGAGGTAAGCACAAACAACTGAAAAAAAATTTAATTTGGGGGGCACAAATGGCAGTCCATAGAAATGCACGTTTTTCCTCTGCACTGCTGGCATCATATAAAGTCACATGGAGAGTCTGGGGAAGAGCAAACATTGGTAGTTTAATGTCTCTGATCTTTTTCAGGGCTGTGCAAACTGCTCCAGATAACTCTGTCCTCATTCTCCTGTGCCTCCTCTCCAAGATCAGACAGCTTCCTTCTGACGGGTGAAAACTGCTGTTTCTTAGTACTCTGTCTTTTTCACGTGTAACATTACGTTTAGAAAGACATTTACCAGTTGTCACCACAGCGTGGTACTTCAGCCCTTCTCCAGCGTTTCCCTCCACTTGCTGCAGCACCTCAGACCCTGCAAAGGGGTGACTGTCAGGAAAAGCTTTAGTGTGAGAACTGCTGCACTGTACCTACCTGTTGCAGCCAGGCAGAAACGGGACTGTCCTTCTACCGTGCTCACTGATCTTAATTTCTCTTTCCTTAACCCTGACAGAAACACCGAAGCCTTCTTTTTGCTCAGTTTTGCAGGACAAGACATGGTTGCATTTTGATTCTCAAGTAACTCACAAATGGAAATACAAAGATCTTACCATTTTTCTGTTCGTTTCACAGGTGGGATGGACGGAGAGACATGAAATCATACAACCCAAATCATCTCTTGTGAGTTTTCCTGTGCTATTTTTAGTCTAAAGGAGATCTTCTTTCCCACAAAATGACAGAGGCAGAGGAACATGGTGGCTCACAGAGCACCACACGTGAGAAACGCACTAGTTGTGCAGCAGCTTCCCCAAAGGGTCATTTGTTTTTTGGCAGTGCTCTTCTGGGCAGACCCAGAAGACAGGATCTCCCTGCCCTGGGAGGAAAGCATCACCAGTTTGGGGGGCAGAGAGAGGCAGCAGCAACCAGTGCTGTCCTGCTGGCTCAGGCACCCCTCTGGGCTGGTCTCTGACCAGCTCCTTTGCTGCTCCTTGGTGGCATGCCGAGACCAATGACCCCTGGATGGGTTTCCCCAAAAGGGTGTACCGTTCCTGAGACTCATGTGTTTCTCATTCCATTCTCTGCTGTTGAAATTTAACTTCGAAGTGAGTGGGAAATTTGGAGTTTTCATTGCAAGGGTAATGAGATTAAAAAAAAAATAAAAATTGAAGACCCTTTGAAACAGTATTACCTTCCCGTGCTCAGACCAAGTACTCAGTGATCCTGCTGCTTTTGTTGGAAAAATTCGTTTGACTGGTGGGAAAGGGGGGGGGACAATTTTCTGTAGGAGTCAAGAAGATTAATGGAATTGTTAGACGTACAGCTCATTAAGAACAAACCCTCATCTGAAATTTTGACCTGTCTCCGTTTTTAATTTAGTCTTCTGTTCAACAATAATTTAATACCTGTTTCTTTTCCACAGCTAGACAAAATACTTTCAGAGCTAGAAGGACAGAGTTAGGATTTTTCAAGCAAGTTGAAATAAAGACTTTATCTCGTGAGGGATGTGTGTATGAGAGAGACTTTATTATGCTCTCTAAATGTTTGAGAAAGCTAATACAGAAAAAAAAAAAACTTGTAAGTGGATCACAAGGATTCCAGATTAAAATGTGCCAGAGTTCTGGAGACCCTTGAAGTGATTGCCAGTGCGCCTGTGTGGCTCTGGAAGCAGAACAGAGAGATTTCTGCAGTTCTGCATGGTGTGGCTTTACCAGCCACTGCCTGGGCTGCCTCAAAGGCTTCTTCAGCTCCACAGTCAGCACAGCTTTTGGACTGTCTTTCCTGCATTTAAGCCCTTATCTTATATTATAGTCTAATTTACATGTTTCATTATACTCTATGGTTTTAATTGTCCCATGAAAGGAAATGTGACTTTTATGATTTGCTCTAAGTTCTGAACATGCTCTTGGTTGACAGGGGATGTTGTATCTTGAGTGAGAGCATTTTAGGCATTAGGTTTGCCAATATTGCATGATTTATTCAGCAATTGTGTGGTTTATATGTAGCCATAGATCTGTTGCACAATGACTTTAAAAATGATTGTGGTTTGACATTTTGACTAGTGTCTCATTTTAATTGGATCCCTTCAGGGCAGACGAGGGCTGGGGAAGCTTTGGAGCTATTTAGCTCAGCATTAATTGGACTTTTTCAAAATAAGCCGGGAAATTTAGAGACCCAAATAATTCATTCTAAATTAATTAAAACTATGACTTGAAGGAATGGTCTATTTGAGAAGGAGTGTTGGATTCCAATGAAAGCTGTGAGGCTGGACTCTTGGGCCCTGCAGTGAGGGGCTTGGAGTGAAGCCGGGGCAGCGGGAGGTGACAGAGGAGCATTCCCACCGGGCTGGGCAGCTGCCTGTCCCATCCCATCCCATCCCATCCCATCCCATCCCATCCCATCCCATCCCATCCCATCCCATCCCATCCCATCCCATCCCATCCCATCCCATCCCATCCCATCCCATCCCATCCCATCCCATCCCATCCCATCCCATCCCATCCCATCCCATCCCATCCCATCCCATCCCATCCCATCCCATCCCATCCCATCCCATCCCATCCCATCCCATCCCATCCCATCCCATCCCATCCCATCCCATCCCATCCCATCCCATCCCATCCCATCCTGGTGGTTACACGGCTTCCCTGCCTGTCCCTGCTGCCTGGCACGGGGGGATGGCAGCAGCAGGATTATCCTGCAGTGCAGTGGGCTTGGACCTGGTCAACTCGCTGCGTACTGTGTTGTACGTATGCCTTGGGCTGGTGGGACCTCTGATGGTTACCCTTAACTGCTGCCTCGCTCCCTTAAACTCAAAGCATTTTTAATGAGCTGTAATGAGCCTTTGTATACCTTGCAGCTTTCTGTTAGCTCTTAATGACAGCTTTTTGGTTTGTTTGTTTTATGTTTACACAGGCTAGGGAATCACGACTGAGTGTTGTGCAAATACTTGATTGCTGAGCAAGTTACCTGAGAAGTAAAATTAATTGCCATCTTACTTCATTGTGGTTTTTGAAAATTGTGTTTAATGTTCAGTTAGAGCTTTGTGGGCTGTAACCAGTGTCATAAGATTTGCCACTTCTCTGTGAAAGACACCACGGTGAATACTGCTCCTATTGCTCCCCCATTCCCATTCCTGGGTCAGAACTATGCAGGCTGAGTTCCAAGCTGAATTTTGGTCCTTGTTATACTGGAGGAAGCAAGCTAAACTATTCGAATTAAGTGAAGGAGACTTTTTTTTTTTTTTCTCCTTAGGCAATCAATCTAACATGGCAACACTTTCATTGTTTTGCTTTCAAAAGGGAACAAAAACAGTCCTGCTAACAGTGATGGGGTTAGCTCCGTGTACCTGGAATCAGCAATTAGATCAGGAGCCAGGCTGCTGAGCCACTTTCTGTCTGCTTTGAACACAGCTCCTGTGTACCTGGTGCTGTGGTGGGGATGCTGGGCATCTGCCCATCGGTTAGGCTGTAGAGGACTTGGTCACATCTGTAACATTATGTCCTGTTTGCTTCATGAAGAAGGTGGAACCATGCCCTGGCTCCTGTTAACGTGGGCTGTTCCTTTCCAGAGCACGGGCTGTAGTGGCTCTGCCTGACTGGAAACATGGACACTATTTAAATTTTTTCGCAGCTAGAATTAAAGGTTTTATCAAGCTTAATATTTGCACAATGCAGTCTATGTAAATGGCAGAATAATTCCCTTCAGCTGTTGCCAATAAACGGGTAAGGTTACAACCCCACCTTTGACTGATTAGAATTAATAACCAAGTTGATGTCACCTCCAGATTCTTTACTCTTGAAAAGTTGCCCTCTGCAGTTATTTTGAGGCTACAGTTTGTTCGTGTGCTGTACTGCTATTTAGGCTTATGCTTTGCACTGTTTTACAGTGCTACAAGGGTTTGGTGTGGTGACCCAGAGTGACTTGATGCTTTTTCCTCACAGCACACTAAATTT